AAAGAAAGACAGCAATGAATCCCAGAACCATGCTGTACAGAAAAGGTAGAGCTAGGTCTGATTCTGTGAGAAATTTCCAGGAGGAAGACGCCACATGGCTGTAGTTAAGAAAGGCTTGATGAGATGGCAGATTCTGAACTTGCCCCACGACACTTTTAGTAATCTTTTTCTAAGGCGTCCAAATGTGAACTTGACTTTTCTTTGGTATCTTGACTTGTCTGATTGCCTTTGCTGGAGGCTAATTTTTCTTCACAAAAATTGCTACATGTTATGTGGCCACTGTTGACTGAGTGGCTGCTATTGCCACTAAGTGCTAAAAGACAGAGGAAACTAATCCCTATTTCAAGCCACTGCTGCAGCCTGCTCTACAATATCCTCACTGCCTGTCTTCTTCAAGAGTCCAGGCTCATAGGACCCTCACCTCTGACAGCTGGGGACAGAGACAGAGGTGGGCTTGCCCATCTACTCTTTTCCTTTAGAAATGGTATCATTTGTAAATTAACTCTGTACAAGATCATTTTGCATGTAATGTATTGATTAAGCTCTAGCTCATAAGACAAATCAGTGTGCGCACACACTTTTTGTGTATGTGCATGTGAGACAGAGAGAGTTAGGAAAGTGTTACGATGTACTTTCACATGCTAATTTGAAAACCAACAATCACTAGCCATATGTGAGCAAACAGTGGCTAGAAAATACTAAAGATGAATAAATGATCACTATCTTTATGCTGTTTGCATTTGTTCCTGATTGACTTTCACCGCTTAATATTTATGCAGTGTGCTGAGCTATGTATAATCTGGCTGCTGTGTGTCCACTGTGGCACACAGGCTGCTGTAACTAAGATTTGCTCCTAGAGATGGCTGCCTCACTCTTCCCATTGCCGAGCATGGAGTCCCATTCACTGAGCACAACCATTAGTCCCTGGAAATGGAAGGCACTTCCAAAGGCATTAACTTTCAAGAGCCATCTTAAGGGCACTATAACTGCAACAAACTCAGAACAGCCTTAGTTGTCTGAAAGGAGAGATGGGATTCCATGCGTGCCTGCCTTATTTGGCACGCGGGTAACTGCATCCAGGATCTTTGCTCCCTGTGGATTGTACTTTTCTCTCACTGGCATTAGTGACTTTTTGATCCATCATAAGAAGTGGTTACTCAATTTTAGGACACTATAAAAAACATATACTAATGTGTAGCCATTTGACTCTATAAAGTACATTGGCTGAGTTTAAATGTGGCTCAATCTCATTGTTGTAATAGGTTATGTACCTCTGTCCTCACTATAAAGGAATGAGGTCATCAATTCTGCAGATGCAAGAGTCTGATGTGGTCACCACAACTGGTCAGTCATCTATCTTATTCTCCCTGGAAACCCAGTCAGGATTTCATTTGACATGTTACCTTATTCTCTGCTTCTAGAAGCTTGTAGAGCTTAGTTCTCACCAAATCAAAGGAATTATAGAGCTACTCTAGATATAGGTCCTATCTCATTGTGTAGATTCAGATTTCTGCTCTCAACCATTTGCAACTTCTCTATTTATCCTTTAGGACTCTTTAGGTCACGACTAAAGCTTCCACTCATGCTGAGAGAGTCATCTTAAAAAACAAAGCATTCATTTACTGCGTGTGTGTGGCCCTATGGTGCACATACACATAGAGGTCAGGGAACAACTTGCAGGAATCAATCTTCTTCCACCATGTGGTTTTATATGCCCATTAAAGTACTATCCCTGGCCAGAGTTTCTCCACCAACAGCACCTAGGTCTCCTGCTTCAGTGGTGCTTAAACCGAACCTAGTGCTTGAACCAAACCCAGTGCTCAACCCCTCCAATCCTCCTTCACCTCTTCATACAAGGCCTCCATCAACATAACCACCACACCCCCCAGCAGGTGTACCAGAAGTACCACCAGGACTCAGGCTGCTATCAACCTCTAGATCAGCCTAGAGTTTTGCACCTCCTGAGTCTGTCTATCTGTTCATGTCTTGCTACGACTATGATGATGTAGCTTTAAAGAACTTTGCCAAATATTTTCTTCACCAATCTCCTGAGGAAAGAGAGCACATTGAGAAGTTGATGAAGATGCAGAGCCAACAAGGTAGCCGGGTCTTCCAGCAGGAGAATGAGAAGCCAAACAGTGATGACTAGAGAGTGGGCTGAATGCAAAGGCATGTGAATCAGTCGCTACTGGAGCTAAACAAACTGGTCATTGACAAAAATGACCCCCACTTGTGTGGCCTCATTGAGACCCATCACTTGAAAGAGCAGGTGAAATCCATCAAACAAATAGGTGACCATGTAACCAACTTGTACAAGACGGGAACCCCTGAACCCAGCATGGCATGGCAGAATATTTGACAAGCACACCTTGGGACACAGAGACTGCCCCAAAGCCATGGGTGACTTCACTAGTCACAAGGCAGGATGTGCACGTCAGGGCTGCCTTTGCCTTTTCTATAAGTCAAACCAAAACAAGCAGCTTAAACTCTTTAATTTGCACCATTCCTTTAAATAAATTTGGTAAACCCTGCCCCGCCACAAAAATACTACCCCCTAAACCTATGAAAAACAAGACAT